GCGATTGGCTGGGAATACCCGGAAGTCTACCCGGATCAGCCCCGGTTGAACTTTCGGTTGACGGTTCAAAACACTACTCCTACAGTATTTTAAAATTTGACCACAATGATCCGGCTTTATATATAAGCTGGTAATCTTCAGCTAAATAAGGGCCCTCATATAACTAAAATTTTCTCACGCTCCTCATTCAATGGATCGGAGGTAAATTTTTATTTGGTAGGAAAATGAATAAATAAATAAATGAGCAGTACCACGATGAATTAAGCAGTGTAATACAAAACACCTTTTTTCCTAACCGTTCTAAAAATAGCCACTTTATTTTATCGCTCTTTTCAATTTACTGTGATCATCAATTTTCGTTGATCACACATCACTGGGAATCTGGAAATCTAAAAATCGCAATTTGTAAATTAAAGCTTTTTAAAACTTTGAGCGAAGATATCTCAACACCACCAGGCCATATTCAATAAACTTTTTTTTTTTTTTGGAATTCTACAGTTCGTAAAATTCAAATAAAAAGAATTTATTAAATTTGGCCTGGTGGTTGTCGAGAAACCTTCGCTCAAAGTTAAAAAAAAATTTAACGAAATTTTTTTTCAAACTTTGAGCGAATATTTCTCGACAAATATCAATCCAATTTTGATGAACTTTTTTTTATTTGAACTCTACAGATTTGTAGAAGTCAAATAAAAAAGTTTATTAAATTTGACCTGGTGGTTATTGAGAAACCTTCGCTCAAAGTTTGAAAAAAAATTTCGTTGAATTTTTTAAACTTTGAGCGAAGGTTTCTCGACAACCACCAGGCAAATTTTAATAAACTTTTTTTTTTATTTGAATTCTACAAATCTGTAGAATTCGAATAAAATAAAATCATCAAAATTGGATTGATATTTGTTGAGAAATATTCTCTCGAAGTTTTGGAAAATTTTGGTGCAGCTTCTACTTTATAGATGAATTGAGTTTTTTTAAAAAATTTGAGCGAAGATATCTTGTCAAATACAAAGCCAAATCCGGTGATCTTTTTTTTTTTTTTGAATGCTACAGATTTGTAAAATTCAAATAAAGAAAAAAATCTATCAAATTTAATTTGGTGGTTTTCGAGATATTTTTGCTCAAAATTTTTATTTGATAGACATGATTTTTTTTGAGCGAAGATGTCTTAACCATCAAGCTAAATTTGGTCTCTTTTTTTTTTTTTATTTGAATTCTACATATTTGTAGAATTCAAAATTTTGAATTTAAATTATCGTGCTTTCATTTAACTGACATCACATGGATGACAATTTATTATTAATATATATACAACTATTAAAACCCTAACCCTAACCCTATGTGATGTCGGTTAAATAAGTAAAATGGGTTTCAAGAAAATAAGATCCACCCATTATCAAATTTCGTCACTGGGATCTGAGATATAGAAATCAGAATCTAAAATATAAAATATTAAATATAAATGTAAGAAATTGTAAAAATAATAATTTTTTTTCATATTATCAATCAATACTGTATTTTATAGCTGATGTATTAAACACCAAACTTAAATATCATCATAGAACTTGCTTTGGCTGCCATAAATATTTGTACTGTGCGGCAGATTTGTGTCAGATTACTTGCGGCTATAAAAAATCCTTGGTACCAACCAAAAAAAATAGAACTGCTCATGTCAAACAAGCATATACACATTTATTTGAGCCTACTTGGGAATCATTAAAGTTTGAATATATTCATAAAAGAGTCTTAGATTTTAATTATCAAATAAATTTAAAAAAATGGTTAAGTTTTCTCTTTGCAGTCAATGTCACAACATCCTGCTCAAATTAAATCCCGCCAAAACAAAAAAAAAAAAAATCAGTAGACAAAGCAACTGATAAAGCAACTAATAAAGTAGCAGACATGGTCGTGCGTCAGGTCATTTACAAATATTTATTTGCAAAGCCCTATTTTTGTCTATAAATATAAGTGAAATTGATAAAAAATTTTCGGGAACTACTCTAAAGCTGATGCGTAATGTATAAGATCGATTTCATGCGAGCGCATGATTCTTCAATAATGTAAATTCAGGCCAGTGTGCATAGTGCCGGGTGAGTTAAGGATGAAAAATTCCGAAAGAAGATCAATAAACATAAAAGACGAGCAGAGTCGGACAAAAATTTGAGCAAATCCGATATTTTCCGAAAAGAATCATACAGTTTATCCCATATTTAGTAAAAATACAAAACAGTAATGTGTACGATACTATTCAATAAACAATTTCCTTTTTTGGATAAATGGACAGGTGAATGCTCACGAGGATACACCAAAAATGCTATTTTAATAAATTAAAATAATGTAGTAATTCTTGGGAGATGATAGAAGTTTCTAATTAGAATAACAATTTTAAATAGGTCTTAAATTTGACAACCTATAAGAAATTTTTATTTTGCATCATCATATAAATTTATCATACACCTAGCATTCCTTAGTCTACGAACGTGATTCAAGCTATCAAAGTTTATCATGATTTGTGAAAATAATAAAATAATGCTTAAAATATTCTAAACGTCTCACGTAAGTTTGTACTTACGAATAACACAATTACTCATGTTACAAATAATGTACAAAGTATAAATAACCATAAATAATTATAGTCTGACCTCTTTAAGTGTACGCCATTAAGACAATTTTAACAACGTGCATTTGGAGAATAATTAGAAAAGGTGCTTCATAGAGGTTAACTATATATTTGGGTTTATTGTGCATTTAGAGAGGATATGCACTTATAGAAGTGCACTTAGAGAGGTCTGACTTGCAGTTACTTAAATTATTATTCTATTTATCGATTTAGCTCAATACTGAACGTAATAATGTTATATCTTACTTTTTACATTCTCACATTTCTCTTAAATTTTATTTTTACTTTTGCTGCTTTTATTCCAAATGGAAGACATTTTCATTCTTCAGTTCTTATTGATAAGAAACTCTATTTTATTGGTGGAGAAATAATTTACACTACTTCAATTAGTTTATCAGATATTACAAATGAGTTCTTTTATTTAGATGTTTCTAAACCATTTACAACAACTGATAAAAACTTAATACCATGGATTGACCTTACTTATACTGGCAGTCCTTCTATAGAGGATGCCACAGCATGTATTGGTGGAAAAAATAATGATATGATTTTTATTTTTGGTGGTTGGCCTTCTAATAAATCATTTGTTGAACAATTTGATACAAGTAAACAGCAATGGATTTATATCCCATCTACTGGAAGTGCACCCACAAATAGAGATAGTATTTCATGTGCTAATTTTAATAATGGACTGATTGCCATTTTTAGTGGATGGAGTTTTAGTTCTGTGATCGCTAATGAACTTTCGATTTTCAATACATTAACATTAACATGGAGCTTAAGCAATGCAACAAATGCACCTTCACCTCGATATGGTTATTGTACAATAACTTTGCCTGATGAAAACGTTTTATATCTTAGTGGATATGATTCATTATTATATAAACCATTAAATAATGTAAATATTGTCTTTTAATAAATTAATTTTTTAATTTTTATTTACTAATGTTTTTACAGTTACCATTATATAATACTAAATCTGATACATGGACAAATATGGTACGCAATAAATAAATATAATTTCGATTATCATTATTTCTTAGCAACTAACTACAGAACAACTTAAAACTACCATCTTATCAGAGCACATCTGGTCCAACTCCTCCTGCTCGTGGTTGGTTCTCAGCGGTATTAAGTATGTCATTTAACAATATTACTTGATATTTAAAGTAAAATGCCTTCTTCTATTAATAATTTATTGTAATTAAGCACCCGACGGACGTATTATAATTTTTGGTGGTAGTAATTTAAATACAACTTTCGGTGATCTTTGGGTTTTAGATATTGCGACTTATCAATGGTCAATTGGAACCATTTTAAATCCGATTGTTAATCTAACTCTTTCTGATCATACTGCTACATTAATAGATAATTATATGTTTGTTGCCTTTGGTAAAATTTTTAATCAATTTTGATTTGAAACTAACTGATGCTGAAATTTATAATATGAGAAATTTAAAGTCTGAGGCAATTTTTTAGTTAGGACTAGAATTTGGATTATATTTATTAAATGGTATAGGTGGATATTAGTAAGGTTAATTAAATAAATGCCCAAATTTCAGCATCAGTAACGACAGTTCTTTTTTTTGTTTATATAAATTTTTATTAAATTTAAAAAATTTTATTTAATTGGCAGGTATATTTTCAAATCTTAGTCTTTCAACAAAAATATTTATGTTAGATGTTAGTCAGAAGAATTCCTATAAATGGGTTACTGAATTTACTCCAAGTATTAAAACCACTACAACTACTACAATTCCAAGTAATATGACGTCACCTAATCCGACATTTAATGGCATGTTTTTCGGAATTGGTGTTGCTGCGGGTATAATTGTCATCATCTTTTTAGCCTTTGCTGGATTTTTGTTATATAGGAGATTTAAACCAAAATACATTCCGACACCTGGTAGCGATCAAAGACCGCGATCTGAAGAATAACCTAACAACTATAGCAAGTGGCTTAAATGTTAAGCCTTCTATATAAACTTTTAAAATTTATTATAATAGATAATTTTAATTGCTCTTCTTTTAAGTGGTTGCTTAATGTTCTGAATCTATTGACTTTTGTACCATTAATTATCTGCATCCAGTGTCAATTACTTATTTGGATCATTTGAATAATATGTTTGTGTTGTTTTCATTACGATGTTTGTACGGGATGTAAAAAATAGAAAATTTTTTGATTTAAAATTATCGTATAAAAACGTATAAAAAACGCATTCATTCAATAAACATCCTTTATACGTTCGAAACGGAGTCAATTTTCCGAACAAAAAATCGAATATTTTCGGAATTTTCCGGACAATTCCAAGTGATTTTTTTTTATAGGGACCCAATTTTTTGATTCCATGTTATGCAAAGCGAAATATTAACTTCGCGTGGCCTTAGATGTGAACATGAGTTTAGTGGATTTAAAAAAAAAAGATTAATAAAAGAAATCCATGTAATGCAATACGAAAATTAACTTTGCATGGTCTTATATTTCACCAGAACCTGTAAAAAATTCGATTCAGAAGAAGTGAAATTAACTAATATTTTAAAATAGGCGCATAAAATCTAGGGTGTCAAATTTGTAAAACGTTGAGACAGCCAGAATAAAAACACAGTTTTAATATTATGTTTCACACATTCTTTTTATGATTGCTTGACTAGGGTTCTACTTATGCTTAGGATCTTTACGGTCTGTACTCAGCATTAAAGTGTAATGCAAATAAAGTGTCACATAAAACATTTCATTTTCCGTGTAATAATCCCACCGTATTTAAGAAAAGGCGATGTTGATCATAAATCCAAAAATAAAAAATAAAAAAATAAAACAATGACACAAAATTCATGTAACTAAACGTCAAATAAACTATAACACAAAATTCATGTAACTAAACGTTAAATAAACTATAGCACAAAATTCATGTAACTAAGCGTTAAATAAACTATAACACAAAATTAATGTAACTAAGCGTTAAATAAACTAACTAAATATAAAGGTTGGTTAACGTTAAAATAATTCCATATATTGTCTACATACTGTATTCGTGATACTCGTGATCGGGCTATAAGTTTTCTTCACAGCATTCAAAATATTGAAAGTTTATATAAACTGTTCTTCATTATACTTATATGACTTGTATCTATACCAAAGAATATCAAAAAAGCAACCCTAACTTTAACTACATTTTAAATATAACCAAAGTACGCACGTATGTATACGAAATTAATTTGCAGCTGTTTTCATAAACTTTGGGACATTGAAAATTTTGGTTTGACCGAGTCGACAAGTTTTTGATGTTGGCTGATGTTAGTAATTTGGAGTTAGTCAATAGTAATCATGCAAATTTTCTATAATAAAAATCTTTTATAACCTTAAACAAGAATAACTTAACAAAACCTTGACCAAATTTAATAAAAAATTTTCTAAACAATTTTTACAAACTTATAGAATTAATTTTAAAAAAGTTTATTAAATTTGATTAAGTTTTTGTTAAGTTATCCTTGCTTAAAGTTTTTAAAAAATTTATTAAAAAATATTTGCCTGGTTTCTATTGACTCAACCTCATTTATTGATTCAGACTCGGTAATTTATCGATTCGGTCATCAGAAAATTCTTCAGTTGTCTAAGAATTTATGAAAACAGCTGTAAGGTTTTTGTACTAAGCGGTAATACATAATGCATGGAGCTTTAGTATTTGTACTACATACTATGTCATATAACGATACTTCTCTGCAACAAATTAATTTATCTTAGAATTATGGTCGATGAGTTTGGTTCTAAAAGAAATAAATGTAATGGAAAATGTGTAAATTGCAACCGATATAATACATCTCCAGCATGGTGCCAAACATGCGACCCTCTGAAAACAACACAGGGATGGACGAGTGGAAATGAAGATGTAGATATTTGTATTAAAAAATTTCAACTTAAAGCTATAAAATACGAAGATGTGATTGAATGGATTCCTTTTGATAGATTAGATATTGTTAAAAAAATTGATGACGGATTTTTAGCAACTTGGTTAGATGGTATACGATATGTAAACGAAAAGAATAGTAAGAGAAGTATATTTAAATCGTTTAAATATAGATGTACACAGTCTCGTACACTACCATGCATAATTACGCTTAAAATATTAAATAGTTCACAGAATTTATCAAATCTTTTAAAAGAAGTAAGATTATATTATTTATTTATGTAGCTATCAGTTGATAACGCATTTACATAAGCTTACTTATATTTTAAATATTTTGTAAGTTATATTATATGGTGTTAGATAATAAAAATGTTTATGGATTAACTCAAAATTTAACCTCAAACGAATATATGTTGGTATTTGATGAATTTAGTTCTAAAAGAGTTATGAGATATGGAAAATGTGCATATTGCAACCGATATAATACATCTTTAGCTTGGTGTCAGACATGCGACCCTCTGAAAACAACACAAGGATGGACAAGTGGAAATAAGGATATCAATGATTGCATTAAAGGATTTCAGCTTGAAGCTACAAAATACGAAGATATAATCGAATGGATTCCTTTTAATAGATTAGACAATATTCAAAGGATTGATAAAAGCTTTTTATTAGCAACCCGGATAGATGGTATACGGTATACAAATAAATATATAAACGGATATGAATGGGCACAGTTATGTATGCCATCAGATAAAGTGGAACTTAAAGCATTGTCATGCTCACAAAATTTATCAGATATCTTAAAAGAAGTAAGATAAAAATATACTTTAATTATTTTTATTGCACAATATATACTTTATTTTAATTTATATTTACATTTTTAATAAGTCTACAATACAATTAAATCTTAAAGTATATGGGCTAACTCAAAATGCTACAACAAATGATTATATGTCAGTATTTAATTATGAAAGATATAAAGAGAATGGAAAATGTGCAAATTGCAAGCAATATAACACTTCTCTAGCCTGGTGTCAGACATGTGACCCTCAGAGAACAACATAAGGATGGACAAGTGGAAATGAGGAAATCAATGATTGCATTAAAGAATTTCAACTTAAAGCTACAGAATATGAAGATGTAATTGAATGGATTCCTTTTGATAGATTAGTTAATATTCGAAAGTGTGATGATGGATTTTTAGCAACCTGGCTAGATGGAGTACGATATTTAGATGATAAATATGAAAAATATATACAGTTACGTAAATCATCATGCAAAGTGGGGCTTAAAACATTAAATAAATCACAAAATTTATTGGAAATATTAAAGGAAGTAAGAGAAAATCATATTATTATGACAATTTGCATTAATTTAATTTATATTTACGCTTTTAAAAGTTTGTAGATTACATACAATCAAATCTTAAAGTATATGGACTAACTCAAAACACAACCACAAATGAATATATGATAGTATTCCATGATTTTGGTTCTAAAAGAAATGAATATAAAAAAAAAATGTGCGGATTGCAAACAATACAGCATATCTTTAGCATGGTGACAGACATGCGATCCCTATAAAGCAACACAAGGATGGACAAGTGGAAATGAGGGTATCGATTATTGCATTAAAGAATTTCAGCTTAAAGCTCCAGAATACGAAAATGTCATCGAATGGATTCCTTTTAATCGATTAGATAATATTCAAAAGATTACTAACAGATTTTTAGCAACATGGTTAGATGGAATACGTTATGTAAATAAAGAATTTGACAAAAATAAACGTAGATATAGATCTACACAATCACGTATATCATCATATAAAGTGGAACTTAAGACATTAACTGGAACACCAAAATTAGATATGTTACAAGAAGTAAGACAAATGGAG